TACAGTTTAAAGTAGTATACCTAGTAATAATTAAGTATGGTATAAATATCGAATTTAATCGAATCTAAATATGACATAACCTTAAAATGCTTACGTAATTTAATATTTTCTTTAAACCACTACTTAAGTTTCTAATGATATTTTTCCTACGCAATATACACCTGATTCCCTATTGTTGTACACTTATTCTAATAAGACGCAATGAAAAAAACTTAGCCCAACTCCCAAAGTAAAATGACCATTCTCCTTTCGCTAAAGGTGCGAATACATTAAATCAGCAATAGCGATGTATTGAAAAATCTGACGCTAGTTCTCCAACATTTTTATCAACAAATGAATGAATTGTTGTGGATACAACAACTTTATAATTTTGAAATGTTAAATGTTTATCATGTTGTTCGATTAAGGCACTTCGCGCACTAGACGACCGCGGCCACGATCAGTTGTGGACGTGGCCGCAACCTTGGTCGCAGAGGCGGTTGGGCTGCGGCTGCGGTCTGCGGCCACGACCACGACTGGTCGTGACGCTACCATATTGCTGGTCGTTTATTTCATTAATTAATAACTCTGTATCAAAACTTATTGTAGAAAAAAACGTCGTCATATTCAGTCGAAGAACGGTATGAAACATGTTCATTCACGAACTGTCCGCATGACCTTGACACTGAGATTGACCGCATTCGCTGTCGCAGATCTAGTGCGGGCCAGTACCACTAGTCGTTGCGACTATCTTCCGTATAGCTGGCAATGAGCGCTCGCGCTCTAGATCTGCGATCGCAAATGCGGCCTGGTCGCTTCAGCCATTCTCAGTGTCATGCTGATAGTTCGTGAAAGAGCACGCTTCGTATCGTTCCGCAACTCTATAGGACGACGATATTTTTCTGCAAAGAGCTTTGAAAGAGTTATTTATTAATGAAATAAAGAAACGACCAGTAATATGGTCGCTTTACGACCAGTCGTGGTCGTTGCCACAAACTTGTCCGCAGCCCAACCGTAGCTTCTGCGATCATGGTTGTGGTGACGGCCACGGCCACGACTGTTCATGGTCGTGGCCTAGTGCACGACGTGCCTTAGTTAATCTGGTCCTCGCGGCTCCTGGTCGTGGTCATTATCGTCTAGTGCGCGAGGTGCCTTACTGAGGCAGTAACAAATGTCAACGGCAGTTTTTTTTTGTAAATGTTTGACTATAGAAATACAAGGCTTTACTTTAGTCTTAGTCTTAGTAAGTAGTACGGCGCGGGCTATTTCGGCATGATTATGTGAAAGCACCTTAAAAAGTCCTGCCTTTTATGTACGCCGACGCTCGCCCGCCCACCTCCCCTCTTCCCCGCGCGCGGTGCTTTGCTTTGATTGCAATGCATGCAAAGGGCAGTCGCAAGTATATCAATCGCGCGTGCGCATCTTTTGACTTAGTGACAAACACTGTGATAATTTCAATATGCCTCGGTATACGAACCAAGAATATTTAGAAATGGTGTACTGCTATCGCGAGTGTGACGAAGTGCTCAGTAGAGCCGCAAGGCTTGCTTTAGGCAAGTATAGTGCAATAACTTTGCAAATAATAATTTTAGTCTCTTTTTTTTGCTAGCGTTAATACTTTTTGATTCGAAACAGCTAATTAGTGTACTACCAGTGTGATTGATTTGATAAAAAGTTCTAGTGAAAAATATGAATATGTTCCTCGTTCCTCGTTGTACCTACCTACATCGCCGGTCTCGTAAGTACTGTCTAATACCTAGTTATAAATTTCTTTCTGACCCAAGTATTAAACTGCAATAAGTATTTGTTTTTGTAACAAAATTATTATTAACTTTTTAGGTATTTTTCTCTGCTAATGAGAACATAACACTTGTTCTTTATTTAAATTTTGTCATTGTAATATGACATCTAAGGCCCGTATGAATAGAACGATCTCAACTCTGAGAGCGATCTTGAGATGCTGTTTAGTATGAACACAGTATCTCAAGGTCGTAGTCTCACTGTACTGTAGATAGGTACGCGCCGCGTCAGCTGTGCGCGCGCGGTCGTTCCCCCCGGCGTCGGCCTCGCCTGGCCACATCAATTATTTTTCGTTTATTTTAGTAGTGCTTATTTATTTGTTATATTTCACTTACTATTAATTCCTTTTTTAAAAATAATTATCACTCAAAAGGAGGAAAGGACATAAAAATGCAAAATAAAAAAAAATAAAAAACGAAAAAAATAATTTTAAAAAATCTGAAAAAAATCAGGTATACTCTATACACGTAACGCAATAATCTCACGAAGTTTCATAGAAACATTCAATTTAACCCTGTATATTTATTGCCTTTCAGGTCCTGATCTGTTATTGAAGTAATTACTCTGGGCCTACATCACCAAATAAGCAGCAAGAATAGCGCCAAATATAGATGTTGCACTAACACGGGCTCACCAGCAAGCTGTGTTCTGTTTTTATTTTTGTCTATTTTATTATTATTTGATTATTTAAATTGTAAATTAATGTTTTTATTTTTATAATATACCAACACATTTTATCACATACTGCCAGCACTCATTGAGCATTAAATTATTAACCGTTGATTATCATACATATTCGATCCGTAGTGATGTATTCAACCCGGTTACTTGCTCAGACTGTCATACTAGCAGTTTATTTTGATAAAAAAATAAAAAAATCCAAATGTTTTATCACATACTGGCAGCACTCAATGAGCACTAAATTATTAACCGTTGACTATCATAAATCTTCGATCCAGAGCGATGTATTCAACCCAGTCACTTGCTCAGACTGGCATACTAGCAGTTTATATTGATAAAAAATTAAAAAAAAAAACCTAATTTTTTATCACATGCTGGCAGCACTCATTGAGCACTAAATTATTAACCGTTGACTATCATAAATCTTCGATCCAGAGTGATGTATTCAACCCTGTCACTTGCTAAGACTGTCATACTAGCAGTTTATATTGTTAAAAAATTTAAAAAATTAAAATTTCGTTATTTTTTATCACATACTGGCAGCACTCACTGAGCACTAAATTATTAACCGTTGACTATTATAAATCTTCGATCCAGAGTGATGTATTCAACCCGGTCACTTGCTCAGACTGTCATACTAGCAGTTTATATTGATAAAAAATTAAAAAAAATTAAATTTCCTAATTTTTTATCACATACTGGCAGCACTCATTGAGCACTAAATTATTAACCGTTGATTATCATAGATCTTCGATCCTGAGTGATGTATTCAACCCTGTCACTTGCTCAGACTGCCAAACTAGCAGCTTTTATTAATAAAAAATTTAAATAAATAAAATTTCCTAATTTTTTTTACTAGATACTGGCAGCACTCATTGAGTACTAAATTATTAACCGTTGATTATCATAGATCTTCGATCCAGAGTGATGTATTCGAACCGGTCACTTGCTCAGACTGTCATACTAGCAGTTTTTATTGATAAAAAATAAAATATTTTTTATTTTCCAAAATTTTCATCAGATACTGCCAGCACTCATTAAGCACTAAATTCCCTATGCATTGCTTTAGTTCTATACCGCGTTAATATAGGCGTTTCAGGGAATAACCTGCTAGCTTTATTAAAAGCTGGCAGTGTTATAATTTTTCGCTAAACTATGAGAGCATTAAATTTCCGGTTTTGGCACCAAATTAACACTAAATAAGCACTAATTGATGCACTTTATTTTAGACGATTCTGCTCACATTGCCATGCTAGCTTAATAGACGTGTTGGTCTGTTGTGTTTGGACCTTGATTGAGTTAGACATTTGACTTGGGTATGCTTTATTATTTATGTCAATTTTATGATGAGTGTTTCAAGGTTAGTACCACAAATAAAAAAAGGAAGTAAAATGTACAAGATTGTAGTATATAATTTATAAAGATAGCAAACTAATCCACTTCCTAATAATATTAGTAGGTAATTAAAAAAATAATTTAATGTACCATAAAAAGAATGCTAGTAATATGGACTTGCGTATATTGTCATTTTAGGTCACAATCTAAAATACATATCTTTGGTATCTCGGCAGCTCTGTCCAAATTCAATATAGACAAATTTCAGGCAGCTTTCACACCAAGTTACATACAATCCTTTGCCAAGATACCTGGGTGGCATACTAGGCCAACAACACCTAGAGGGCCTAGCGCAAAAGCACACGGGCAAATTTTTTGTTTATACCAATTAGCCTAGCCCCAAAGTAAACACTATAAGGCTTGTGTTATGGGATGCTAGGGTAACCGATAGAATACACATACTGTGCACTGAAATACATATAAAATATCCATGTCTAGAGTACAAATTCTCGTATTTATCACACAAACATGTGCCCCCACCGGGATTCGAACCCGAGACCCCTCGAGTCGGCGACACCATGAAACCTGGCGTGCAAACTACTTGATCACGGAGATTCTCCGAAAAAATGTATATTTCCAACACACACCAATTAGCCTAGCCCCAAAGTAAGCACTGTAAGGCTTGTGTTATGGGATGCTAGGGTAACCGATAGAATACATATACTGTACATATATAAGTATATTTATATAGAAATACATATTAAACATCCATGACTGGAGTACAAATGCTCGTATTCATCACACGAACGTCTGCCCCCACCGGGATTCGAACCCGGGACCTCTCGAGTCGGCGACGCCATGAAACCCGGCGTACAAACCACTCGGCCACGGAGGTCGTCAAAATATAAATAGTATATCCATAACAAGTTAATAATAATGTATCTAAATATACATATAAAAGAAGACTGGGTGACTGACTGACTGCCAATCAACGCACAGCCCAAAATCGCTGGATCTAGAGACTCAAAATTTGCCAAGAAAGTTCCATATACAGTCTAGCGATGCACTAGGAAAGGATTTTAAAAGATTATATAAAAAAAATGTCTAAATTCTTCTTTTTCACTTTTATATTAAAAATTAAATACAGTGTATTCTCGTGCTGAAATTATGTATGAACTTATTTCTGTATATTTGACTGATTTCAGTAACATCCCTGACAGTATTAGATTACCAGATTCCTGGACTAATAATTGCAAAGCTTGGGTGCAGGAGGAGAGAGTGGACGAAAATGACCTATTTATCTGGGAGAAGGATTTCTATGTACAATTTCTGTCTACAGTAATAGGTGAGTTTTAAAGTAAACGTCGTTCTCAAAACAACATCTGCTATGTGCACTTGTTGGATAATCCCACTTTTTTATCATTTATTACTACATATTTTCATCATTCTATTAACCGAATTTACGAATTCAAAGACTGATTTGAATCTAAGCATTATTATAATGAACAGTGGTTGCTTAAATAAATTATGCTAAGTGCCTTAGCCAGAATATTGACTGCTTGTTTTAAAGTTATATTATTTGCACATAACAGGTTTGACAACCAACGAAAAAACCTGTAGCTAAATGACTCGGTTAAGTTCTGGGTTTGTTCTTTAGTCAGGGTATAGTGGAAAACGAACTTTACCATATTGACTCAAGTATAGGTAGTTGTGATAAGCCTGTTGTTAATGTTCAATACCTGAAAGGAAAGCTTAATTTTCCTTTGTCTGTCTTTTGAACAGAAATATATAGACGCTAACAAATAATTGTTCACACTTACATCATGAACCCTGAAAATCTCTTATCTATTAGACAAGTCCGTCCGTCCGTCTGTCTGTGGTGCTGTTTCAGCGGCCAAACCGTAAGAGATAGATAAAGAGAATGTTTAAGTTATAAGTTAAGAATAGTTTGATAAGACTACAAACCGGATTTGAGTAACGTAGCACTTCCGGTTTTCGAGAAATCACGAATTTCAAACGAAACCACACAAAATCTCCGAAGTTCTCAATTAATTAAATACATTTTTTTTTTAAATCAGGTTTTGGTGGACATTTGGTTGCTAGTATTACACTATTTTTAGGGAGTCATGTAATTTTTTTAAGCATTAAAATGTAAAGAAAATTTTACAAGAAAAAAATCCATGCGCCATCTCTTCGCATTGTATGTAACCCACAATGTCAAATGAACACCTTGACAAGTATTTAACGTTTGAAAGAAGAAATAGCTATTGTAGAGTCTGTGCGGAAAGAGAATGGGATTTAGATTGGAGGGCGCTGTAGTGCTTTTCTACCGTCTTTGTAAGGTTATACCTTTAAGACATGAATAAATACAAAAAACCGCAAGAAATCACAACAACAAACAAATCCGCATCAATACAAAACTTTGACGTTTTACAGATTGCTGGGTTTGATTGCCAAATAAAAATCTGAATGTTAGTTCCGTTTTTCGCCACGACCATTCTCTTTCCGCACAGACTCTAGTTATATTTTTCCTTAGATTCGAGTTTTCTTTAGATTTAAGTTATTAAGTTAAATACTTCAAAATATATAACTACAATAGCTATTTCTTCTTTCAAATGTTTAATACTTGTAAAGGTGTTCGTGTCACGTTGTGGGTTACCTACAATCCGAAGATAGGGCGCTGATTTGCAGCCTAATAAATACTAGAGAAAATTCGACCTGTCTGCTGCATGGATCGCGTGGAATTTTATCCAGTTTTTTTTTATTTCTTCAGTCATGTAAAAGTTGACAGGTTTTCTAGTTTGCTTGTTTTAAATATTGTACAATGGCGCGGAAGTGAAATCCTTTTTAAGGACTTTGGGCAGTTTTGGAAAATGGAAAAAATTACTGAACTTCCCATGACTGGGAGTTATTTTACAGAATCTCTTTGAGTGATTTTCTAACCCGCAGCACTTTGAAAGACCTTTTTGTTCTAACCATTAAACTTAAAGACTGACAGATTGAGGAAAAGAGATATCATGCCCTTACTTACTAACGACAATTCCAAAATTAGAAAGAGCCGCAACATGATGACCTTTGTTCCAATAAAGTAAAAAATAAAGGCCAGGGATTCCTTGACATTTTCTTGATATAATATACCTGTCACTGTGCATGTTTAACGAAATAAATCAATATTTGTAAATAAGTTAGACAGTGCAAGTTGAAATCAATTATTTTGATAATTTTTTTTTCTAAATGTCAAAGTAATAAATCAAGTCAAAGTAAGTGGCAGTTAAGTCAATCCCCCTTTCCCTAAGTTTCAGTAAAAGTGTGGGTTTACTGGAACCTCCCCGCGGACTTCTTGAGGGAACGTCGAAATACACTTTCCGCTATTTTGTTACACTTGCCAACACTTGTGCATGTTCCCGAACACTTAGTGGTTAATAATCCACCATTATTGGACGCTAAGATCCGCCACAACACAATTTTTAACAAGAAAACAAAACAGCTAAAATGACATTTCCCGATCCCGCCAAAAAGTCCCTATTATCAAAATAAGTACTAACAGTAGTCTTTACTACTATTTGATAGACAAACTTTACTAAGCTAATAAACATCAAATAAAAATCTTTCTAAACCGTTTTTTTAAATAATGTATATTAGATAATAGGTAACCTTAAATTCAGCCTTATCGACAATTACAAATACTAGTTCACTTGCCGCCGTGGGGCAGGCCGTACAAGGGGATCAGAAAGGGTATGGTCAGCAGTCCCCTCCACCGGAGGATATGGACCCGGACCTCCTGGCACTCACAGTGTCCGAGCTTTTCCCGAAAGTAATACCTACCACCTCCCCGTTATTGATTCTGCTACCAGAGGTCAGGAAGTGGTTTCCGTGCCGATTCCGCCGATCACGGATGCGGAGATGGAGACAGCTCTCGAGCGCCTGTGGGGCAAAAGAAATGCGCCCGAACCCGGATGGAGTGCCGCGCGGAGTCGAGCGCCTGTGGGGCAAAAGAAATGCGCCCGAACCCGGATGGAGTGCCGCGCGGAGTCCTCCCTATCGTCCTTAAAAACACCTGGGTGAGCACTTCAGGGCACTGCTCGACGAGTGCCTTGACCTGGGTGTGTTCCCCACGACGTGGAAGAAGGGTGGACTCTATCTGCTGCGGAAGGAGGGCCGACCTGCGGACACCCGCTAGGTATCGTCCGGTCGTGCTAATTGTCGAGGCCGGCAAATTCTTTGAGAGAATAATTGCCGACCGTATCATCCAGCACCTGGAAGCCAAATCTGGCGCCCTGCCAGTATTGCTTCCGCAGGGGTAAGTCCACAGTGACGCGGAAGAATCCCTAAACGGGGATCCCGCAGCTCCGTGCTAAGCAGCTTAGAGGGTATTCGCAGGACTTTTTTAGCGGATATTATACCGTAAAGCGCCCGTAAGAATTGCGGGAGCCAGGTGTGAGGTCCATTCGGCGGTGTGCCTCTTAAAGGCGCTGTCGTCTGTAAATAGATTTTTTACCTGCGTATTAAAAAAAAAGGGGGTAAGTCCACAGTGGACGCGGTGCAGGAGCTCAAGAGGTTGTCGGGAGAAGCTGTGGGGAGGGGGGAGAGTGTATTCGCTATATCACTGGATATAGGGATATAGTGCATTGAACACGGTCCCCCACAGCTGCATCACAAAGGCCCTGCACCACCACGGTGTGCCGTTGTATCTGCGGCGAGTGATTGAGTACTACCTGCGAGATAGAGAGCTCCCATTCCGACGACCTCCGTGGCCGAGTGGTTTGTACGCCGGGTTTCATGGCGTCGCGGACTCGAGAAGTCCCGGGTTCGAATCCCGGTGGGCGCAGATGTTTGTGTGATGAACACGAGCATTTGTACTCCAGTCATGGCATCCATTAATATGTATTTCTATATAAATATAATTATATATGTAAAGTATATGTATTCTATCCGTTACCCTAGTATCCCATAACATAAGCCTTATAGTGCTTACTTTGGGGCTAGGCTAATTGGTGTGAGTGTTGGAAATATTTATTATAATTTATTTTATTCCATAACTCTAGCGGCGTCGTGTGCGGGGTTTTACAGGGGTCGGCGCTGGGACCGCTCCTCTGGAACCTTGCTTACGACTGGGTGTTGAGGGGGACGCTCTTGCCCCGCACAACGGTCATTTGCTACGCAGATGACACGTTGATCGCTGTTCGGGGCAAGACCTATGAAGACATCCGACGGCTGGAGTCAGCGAGTGCCTCGCAGGTGGTCAGGAGGATAAGCATACTCGGCATAAAGGTGACTGCTGAAAAAACATGGGCTATAATGTTCTATAGCTCCAGGGGCAAGCCACCGGCCCTATGTCAAGCTGGACGAAGCCAGAGTGTCCATATAGTCCACCCTGAATTATCTGGGGCTGGTGCTGGATGCAAAGTGGCGCATCGATGCTCATTTCAGGCAACTGGCCCCAAGGCTGATTAGGGCAGCAGCGGCACTCAGCAAGCTGTTACCGAACGTGGTGGCCCCAGCGCGAGTTGGCGCAAACTATACGCTTGTTGTCATTAGGAGCACAGCCTTTTATGGGGTGCGCCTTCTGGGCAGAGGGTATAGACGCGAGGAGCGAGGTCTTACTGCAGAGGCCGCATAGAATAGTGGCGCAAAGGGCTGCGCGAGCCTATTTTACCACGTCGTTTGCGGCCTCCTGCGCATTAACAGGGTCCCCCCGTGGGCTCTGGAGGCGAAGGCACTATCCCGCCTTTATTGGGAAAGGGCGGAAGCCCGGTAGAGAGGGGAGCGATTAGCACCGGAGAAAGTTATCGCCCACAGGCGACGGCTGGAGGAGCTCATCCTGGAAGAGTGCACTGGGGAGCTCCGGACTCAACAATATGGGACCAGGACCCTGTAGGCAATGCGACTAGTGCTCCGCCAATGGAGGAAGAAGACGCATGGGTCGCTGACCTCCCGTTTGGTGCAGGGGCTGTCAGGGCACGGATGCTTCGGCAGCTACCTGCATCGCATACGGAGAGAAGCGCCCCGTCGTGCCATCATTGTGGCGCTTTCGGGGACACAGTGCAACACACCCTAGAGGAGTGCCCGTTGTGGTCCCGGCAGCGCCATGGTATGGTCATGGTGATAGGACGGGATCTCTCGCTGCCCAGCGTCGTTAAAGCGATGCTGGACTGCGGTAGTCTTTCTGCGAGGAAGTCATCCTCCAGAAGGAGACACCGGAGAGGGCCCGCGAGAGGGACGCCCGGGCCGGCCCTCTCTGCCGCCGACGGCGGAGTGCAGGGAGGCGGCGGTACGAGCGCCTCTTTCCCCCCTATTGAAGCTAGCGGAGCGCGGACAGGGTGCTCCGTCGTCTGCATTGCACAG